CCCCAAAACCCCAAAACCCCAAAACCCCAAAACCCCGATTTGCCGAATTAATCGAGTTTAAAAGATTCTTAGAGTTATGAAATTAAGAATAGATTATCATTAATATGCTTATTTATCTTTAAGAAATTTTCTCGCAGTGGGTTCATCCATTATCAAAGAAAGTGTGTCTCTGTTAGATTTAGAGTTTAATTCCTCCACACTTATAGCTCTTACAGCTGGTTCAATTTAGGCTTTATCAGCCTTCCAATTTGAAATATAAGCAATTAAGAAATGAGCAACTGTGATTGATAAGAAGATGATTCCTACTGATATAGAAGTTTTTGCTTTGTCAGGCTAAATTACTATACTATTAATACTTATTCCAGGATTGGTTTAATTAACTGAGACTTCATGGTCTGTCCACATTTTAAAAGTTTCATTTTTACAACGACTAAATAGAGCCATTGCTTATTTGCTGTCTTAATGTTGCTGAGTAACATTATTTTGAATTTTGTCCCAATCATAAGGGGAATGATTAAAGAACGACATTTTATCTCCATATATTGGCTTATCTTGAATAAATGATCCGATTGTCGCAATTAGCATGTACACACAGATAAAAATATAGTTGACTATTATTTGTCTGTATGACATCACAAGTTTATTGAAACAGAAGTCAATTAGTAAGAATATTAAGGGAACTGAAACAGTAGAAGCAAGAACCATTGATCTCCACATGTCAAATCCAAAATCTATATAAGTTTGGCAAACTTATTCCTCCTGGACCCAAGTAAAGAAAAGCAAGTTTGATGCAAAAACTAAAGGCCAAGCCATAGTATAGAAAAATAAACCGATCTTCCAAAGCTCTGATCTTTCCTTCTTAGGAATAATTTTACCCTCTTCGGTCAGGATTCTCTCTACTTTTTATCTCCCTGAGGATAAAAATAGGAATATAAATGCCAGGCATGTAAAAGATAATGCCCAAAAGTTTAAGTACAAGAAAGACTTTCTCATATTTATATATACACAGCCTCCCCAAGTGAAAAGCAAATTAACGATCATAATTAACCTCGCAATTTATAGCTTGGCGAATGAAATATAAACGCTATAGCCTAAATTATTATAGTATTCTTCTTTGTTATCCCACAAAAGAATATCCAACTTAGATTTCTGTTTCTTTGACCTCATTTTTCTGAAACAAATTTATTGGAATTATTATATTATTGAATAGACTTTATTTCAATTACGAAAGCAAAATATTGCCTATTGGGGTTTTGGGGTTTTGGGG